TAAATAAATAAATAGATAAATAAATAAATGAAATCTTTCCATTTGTGTCAACATGGATGGACTTTCAGGGTATTATGCTAAGTCAGAAAGAGAAAGATAAATACCATATGATCTCACTTATATGTGGAATCTATATAATAAAAGTCCAGCGACCATTATGGCAGAATGACCAGAATGACTGGTTGCTATGACGTGCACTGACCATCGGGGGCAGGCGTTCAACACAGGAACTGCCCCCTGGTGGTCAGTGCCCTCTCACAGCTGGAGCGCCGCTCAGCCAGAAGTCAGGTTCATGGATGGCAAGCATAGCGGCGGATGCAGGAGCCTCTCCTGCCTCTGCGGCAGCACTAAGGAGCAGCGAGCCAAAAGGTAAGGAGCAAGCAGGTGGGCAGTTAGGAGCGAGGGGCCCTGGATTGAGAGAGGGATGTCTGACTGCTGGTTTAGGCCACCAGTTGGACATCCCCTGAGAGGTCCTGGGTTGCGAGAGGGTGCAGGCCGGGATGAGGGATTCCTGCTCCCTCGCATGAATTTCGCGCATCGGGCCTCTAGTATTAAAATAAGAAAACAAAAACAAACAAGCAAAAGACCCCAAACTCATGGATATAGAGAACATACTAGTGGTTGTTTGGGGGAGGGTGTTGGGTGTGACCTGTGGGACAGGTGAGGGTGTCCCATGACCTGGAAGCTGGAGGTGCCCCAGTGAGGCCAGCCTCCCATAGGTGCCCACATTGAAGACCCCTCAGTCACAAACATCACAAATTCAACATCTGTGTCGTGAAAATACAAGGGAAGCAGCCTTCACAGGTTTTTTGAGAGAAATAGGAGAAAGAACCTGGAGGCTGCTGCATCTCCTCTGGCCGGGCCTCATGGCTGGTCCTCGCTCGCGTGCCCCACTGTCCCTGGGGGGGCGGGGAGGCAGTGAGTCCCCTGGTGAGGACCTAGAGCTAGGCCCAGGAGACACCTCCCTGCCATCTCTGGCCATGGTCTGTGCCGCCCTTAGCCGTCCTATCCCAGAGCCCAGGCTCCTGGCCAGATGCGCTGGCCCTTGGCCATCCTGCCCCAGAGCCCAGGATCCTGGCCAGATGTGCTGTCCCTCACCTGTCCTGTCCCAGAACCCAGGCTCCTGGCCAGATGCACTGTCCCTCGGCCGTCCTGTCCTAGAGCCCAGGCTGCTGGCCAGATGCGCTATCCCTTGGGTGGCCCGCTGCATGGGGAGAAGGTGAGCCCGGGACCTGGGGTCACTGCGCAGGTCGGGGACCCACACTCCAGCACAGGGCCTGTGGTAGGTCACCGGTGCAGGAGACGAGCTGTCCAAGACCCTGCTTCCGGTGACCACAGGGCTGCAGGCCTGTCTGCAGGGACCTCAGTGTTTGGGGTCCACCTCCTGGGGGCACTGAGGGTTCTCCCTCTATGCCCAGGTTGGATGGTGGGTTTCTTTCCTTTTTTTTACTTTGAAGAATAATTTATTATTAAATTAAGAAATAATTATAAATAACATAATTTGAATAATTAAATCAATGTATCTTAATAGTAACACAACTTAAATATTTCATATTTAATTTACTACACTAAAACTATTCCATTAAACTTAATATATCATAATTTCTGTACTCCTAATTGGGCAATTCTTTGTTTTAATTTCCCCAGAACCTCAAAAAATAGGTCCAGGTGACTCCCTCCAGGAGCCCTCCCCATCCTTCCCAGTATCAGCTCTATTTAGAGAGATGTCCACACACACACACACACCCATGACATCACCAAGTCACACTCTGATGAAGGGAAAGGGACTTTGGGCATTTGGAGACCTCATGACCCTTCCATCTTCCAAGGATGTGTTTCTGTGCAGCTGGTCTCCCCAGAAGGTGGAAGGTGAATGCCTTTGCAATCCCTTTAGCATTTCTTGTAATGCTGGCTCGGTGGTGATGAACTCCTTTAGCCTTTTTTTTTTTTTTTTTTGTCTGGGAAGCTCTTTATTTCACCGTCTATTTTGAATGTTTGCCTTTCTGGGTATAGTAAACTTGGTCTTAGATCCTTGCTTTCCATTACCTTAAGTACTTCATGCAATTCTCTTCTGGCCTGTAGAGTTTCTGATGAGAAATCAGGTGTTAGCCTTATGGAAACTCCTTTGTAGTTAACAGTTTTCTTTCCTCTTGCTGCCTTTAAGATTCTCTTTGTCTTTAATTTTTGGCATTTTAATGATGATGTGTCTGGGCATGGGCCTATTTGGGTTCTTCTTGTTTGGGGTTCTCTGTGCCTCTGAACTTGTGTGACTTTTCCCTTTACCAGGTTAGGGAAGTTTTCTACCATTATTTCTTCAAACACTTTCTCTATTTCTCCCTTTCTGCCTCTTCTGGCACACCTGCTATTCTAATATTGTTACATTTCACGTTGTCCCACAGCTCCCTTAAACTGTCCTCCTGTTTTTTAATTGTTTTTTTCTTTTTGGTTCTCTGATTGAGTGATATTTTCAACTCTGTCTTCTAATTCACTGATTCAATCCTCAGCTTCCTCTAATCTGCTGTGTATTTCTTCCAATATGTTCTTTATTTGTGTTATGTCATTATTTATCTCAGACTGTTCTTTTTTCATGCTGTTGAGCATTTTTACTATCATTACTCTGAACTCTGTTTCAAATAAATAAATCTCTGCTTTATTTATCTCTTCTTATGGAGAATTCTCTAGTTCTTGATTGTTTCTTTGTCTCCTCATTTTGGCTTTCTATTTGGGTTTGTGACTATGTATTAGGTAGATCCTCTACACCTTTCAATCTCTAGTGCAGGACAGTGTTAAAGGCTGTTTCTGACTAATTAGATCAGGCAAAGATTCAAAGCCTCCAGAGACCACCTTTCCCTACAGACTGATAGAATTCTGACTTGAATTGCCCCCCAGGCAATAGTCCTCAGGTGTGGAGTTTTTATTCAACAAGGTGGGGCAGTTGCTTTTGCCTGGAGGCTAATTGTTATTTTTAATATCTTAAGTGGCCTCAGGGCAAGGCGTTTTCCAACAGGGTGTGTCAGGTGTCTTCCCCCATGTGAGAAAGATGTCCTCCGCTGCGTGAGGGAATGACTCAGACCAGGAAATTTGGGGTGTCTGTCTTCTGAGCTCTATCCCCCAAGTCCCCAGTCCTGGCTTCTGCTCTCACAGCTCTAGTCCACTTCACCCTCCCTCTGCTGGAGCACAAGGTGGGTGGCTCCACAGGGAATTTTATGCATTGGCCCTTTAAGAGAGTGTCTGAATTTTCAGCTGTTACTCCCTGGCAGACAGCACCCCGCTGCTTTTCACAGCCAGATGTTATGTGGGTACCCTCCTCAGTTCTGGTGCTCTTTTCTGGGGGGCCCAGCATGGGGATTAGATCCCAGGGTTCTCAGTGGCAACCCTCCACAGCTGAGATATCTCTCTGGGACTTCAGCTGCTGTCTGTTGGAGCCCAACCAGACCCTTTTGCTCCTCCGCCCCTCTTACCAGTCTCTGTACGGTCTCTACTTTCGGTCCTCAGGTGTCAGGGTTCTCTCCTGAGAGTTTTCTGTTGACTGTTCAGGAAGTTTTTCTGTATTTTAATTGTAATTCCAGTTTGTTCCTGCGAGCATATCTGATGGGTGGTGGGTTTCTAGTGCAGCGGTATCCTTGGAGGAAAACAAGCCCCAGCCCACTGTTCTGCCAGGACTGGAGATCCTGTGCTTCCTGGGCCCAGCACAGGGGTCTCAACAGTCACCTCCGGGCTTCGGCTGCGTCGGGGCTGGCACATGTTCTTCCTGCAGCTGACCAGGAACAGGCAGTCTTCCCTAGAGAGATAGACAGAGAGACAGAAAAATAGAGGATGCAGATAGAGATAGAAAGATAGATAAACAGATGATAGGGAGAGAGAGAGAGAGAGAGAGAGAGGTAAACAGACCATACAGAGATAAATGAGATAGGTTGTAGAAATAGAGATGATAGAGATAGAAAAATAGATGATACATAGAGATGAAGATAGAAATAGAAAGATATAGAGAGATAAACATGATCAAAGAAATGGAGAGATAACGGTAGACAAGATGAGACAGGTAGAGATAAAGAAAGAGATTAAAAGATGGAGTGAGAGACATGATGGAACTACACATAGATAGAAATACACATGGAGAGATACTGAGATGATAGCCATATCCATAAAGATAGAGAAATAAACAGGTGATAGACATAGATACAGAGATAGAGAGAGATAAAGAGATAGAGAGAAAGCATCATGAGAGGGATCATAACAGAGCGAGGATGCCAGGGGTCAGGCAGAGCTTTGGGATCTTTCCTGGTAGCTTTAGAAGTCACAGGCAGTTCCATTGCATGCGGCTGATCCACAGCAAGTCACTAAGGGCCCACATGTCAGGAGTATAGTTGGGGTGGAAGGTATTGCTGGAAACTTAATACAGTCTGCCACCAGAGGCAACCAACATTCCATTCATATGTCATCTTTTAAATAGCTTCCCAAAGAGACAATGCTGTACATTATGCTTCTTTCCTTTAATATTTAATCTTGGAAATCTCTCCAATGTTAACCCTAGCTCGCGCGCCCATTCCTTCTAACGATTTCAGTGCACTCCGCAGCATGCTTCCACCATTATTTCTAAAATTACTGTCATACTCATGGAATTACAGGTTATTCCAATTTATCTGCTGTTAGAAAACCATGTTGTGATGAATATCCTTTTAGATACGTTCATACAGTTTTGCAGGATTATCCTTGGGGTAAATTCTTTGAAATGGAATTGGTGAGTTCAAGCACATGTGCTCTTGAGTTTGAGATAGTGCCAAGTTGCCTCTCCAAGGGCCGTGCTAATTTACATTCTTATCGACAGTGACTGGAAGTGCCTTGTCCCACATCTGGGTGTGCACTTGGTATCATACAACTTTAATCTTCTTCCCAATTTGACAGGTGCAAAGTAGTATCGAGTTATTTTGGTTTTAATTTCTTTACATGAGTGAGGCCGAACACGTTCTCCTGAACTTATTGGCCTTTTGAACTTCATTTGTGTTCGAAGGTGGAGGAAACATTTTTCTGTCCATATTATCTTTTCTTTTTATTAGTGTGAGTCTTTTGAATATTTAAAATTAGCTTTTGTCATAAAAATTGCATACTTGCATCCATGTCATCATTTGCTTAAGGTATTTATTTGTCATACACTTAAAAAATTTCCTTAATTGAACTGATTAATCTTATATATTTTAGTACTTGGGTTTTGTTGTATCCATAGCTTCTCATTAAAGTTGCAAATACATGCGCTTACATTTTTTCTAGAACTTTAGTGACCTCATTTTTTTAATGTTTATTTCTTTGAAACATTTAGAATTTATTTGCTTCTTACTACTAATTCACTGATGAAGCAAACATCATCCAGAGAGGGTCATTGACTCCATCAGCCACACTGCCAGTGAGCGTCAGAGACAAGGCAAGAACCACCGCCTTTTGATATCCAGAGTCTGATAGTTCACTAACAGTTGTGAGCAGCAGGATGGGTTCCAGCCAGTTTAAGTAGGGAAGGAATTTATTATGGAGCGTCTGTAGCTCGCAGAACCTCTCAGAGAGTCACAGAGAAAGCGGGCAGCCCAGGAGTCATGACTGCCAGCCACACGGAGGCCTCTGTAATGAAGACACTGTCCCACTGCTGCTCACTGCAGGTGGCAATTGGGTGGGACACCACAGGCTCCACTGCTATGTTACAACCTGCCACCAGAGGCAGCCAACTGGTGACCATGCTCTTCTTTAAAAAGCTTACCTAATACCTGTCTACCTCACTTGCCCAAAGCTGAGTTCTCCAGAGCAGCCTCTATGTCACACTGCTAGATTGCAAACCCAACTCCCTATGGGGCATGCCATCGGCAAAAGTTAAGCCATGTTTTTGTGCCTTAGGTGCAATGAATTCTGAGAATGCAGAAAATTGGACTTGAAATAAGTTGGTAGTCATGGTGGTTCACTGCAGTCTCCATCCATTCTCTCTCTCTCTCTCTCTCTATTTATTTATTTATGTATTTATTTATTTATGTTAATCCTTACCTGAGGATATTTTTCCATTGTTTTTAGAGAGAGTGAAGGACAGAGAGAAACATCAATGGGAGAGTAACACATCGATTTG